TTTAATATAAAAATAAAAATTATTTCTTATTAAAATTATAAATTTTAATATAGAGAGAAAATTTCAATTTTCACTATGTTTTATTAGTAAATTTAGCTCCTGAGTCATTACTTTTGGTTTTTTCATCTTAAATACAAATATTTAATTTTATTAATGAATATAATTTTCAGATTTTCTGAGAATTATTTTAATTAAAATAAAATTAAGTTTTAATAATTAATATTTAATAAAATTATTAACTTTATTTGTAATTAGAACAACTCAGCAAGAAAAACTTTTATATAAAATGAAAAATGCATGTTTTTACTAATTATAATTAATAAAAAACTCAAGAATTGCATTTCTTTTAATTATTACTATATTAATAAATTAAGAACATTTTTTTATTAAATGATTTTTAGGTGTCATTTTTTATTTATTCAGTTTTTAATTTGATAAAAAATGATTTTTTCCACTTCATGTAATTAATCATTGAAAAGCTTTTTTTCTACAAATCCTTATAAATTTCCCAGGAAGCTGAGTATTAACTTAGATAGGGTAAGATACGTGCTTAGTGATATACTCCAAGATCTACATTGTAGAATAAATGAACTTAAATCGATATCGATATAGGAACGTGCAAAGTCTCGCTCATTTTGTTTCAAGTTTGATTTGTCAGCAGAAAATTAAATATAAATTCGCCTCCAAAATTTTATCCGATCAAAGTTTTCTCTTCAACACTACCTTTACCACTTTCACTCCTACTTCACTTGGAAACATGAGCGACGTCAAATCTTTTGTTGAGGTATTATTTAACAATAACATAACAATATCTACTTTTATTATATTTAAATTTTTTTTATTGAAACAATATCCCAGGATACAATTAACGAGAACTCTGTTGTTCTTTTCACCAAATCCTATTGTCCTTACTGTCGTGAAGCTGTTCAAACCTTCAAAGAACTAAATGAAGGCTATGTTGAATATCAATTAGACAACATGAGTAAATATTATCGAAATAAACTGCGTTAACATTGTAGTCTTTCAAATAATTTATTTTGTATTATTTGTTCCTATTGCTATTCAAAGCGAATGGCTCAGATATTCAAAATTATCTCTTACAAAAGACTAAACAGAGGACTGTACCCAATATTTTTATAAATCAACAACATATTGGAGGTATTTGTTCGTACATCCCATCATCTATTTCGTTCAATATTAATTGTTTAATCATAAAATTTCCGTTTCCTAGGAAATGACGATCTTCAAGCAGCGAAATCAAGTGGTCGTCTTAAGAATCTGTTGAACCGTGGAACCTTATAAATCATCACTATGATGCAAATTTTTATACCAAACTGTGTCACAAAACATAGTAAATTTTTTTGCATTTAACAACCTTTTTGCTTCTTGATATTAGTCAATTATGTAAACAATAATTTTGAGAATGAGAAAAAATCTCATGATTTGTAAAATTATTTATCGTTATCAAATAAGAATGTAGTTCCTTTCTCTTTTTATCATATTACATTATGATGAATTTTATAAATGTTCTGGAATAAAATCACGTGAAAAGTTAAACTATTCAATAGTAAGAATTAGAAGATCTTTGACCAATAGATAACACTGATCCCGAAATGGACCAAATCCCAAAGAACATAAAGCATCATTATAAAAGAAATGATTTTATATGAAAAACTTTGAAAAACATATATATATATACGGTGCTAAACTCATCGGTATTTTGAATTTTGAATTTACTACTTAGTCAAGAAGTGTATCGGTATTGAATATAAATTCAAAATATTGATGAGTTTTAAATGTTATGCAATATTGCATTGGATTAATTGATTATTTGTAACAAATTTCTTAAAATTACAAAATTAACAGAATTTTAATATTTTTTATTTTCTTCCTGATCATATAAAAGTAATTTTAAGTAAAAGTCTGGATTTTTTCAGAATAGACATTAACATAGTCTCTGGTTAAATTAAGCAACTATGCAAAATTGACTACATAAAGTAGCAGATTAAATACATTATGTACTTGTGAACAATATTATGCTAATATGCTAGCCCTAATCCATAATAAACAAATTCCTTACTCTAGAGCTAACAAGTTGACCAAAAATTAAATTGAGAAAAAATATATGAATTATTCTAATGTTTATACAATCTATTCTACATCCATCTTTGTTTCACCCTCCTCTTCAGAACTTTCCTCCTCCGTAGGCTCATGCAATTGTACCTCAAATTGTATATCTTGGTCACAACCCGTGTAAGAGTCTGACATGTAATAAAGAGTGAGCGTTTGCTCACCAACTTTTTCCGGAAACGTTACCTCCAACTTAACATCCAATTCACGATTAAGTGTGATACGTTTGATACCAAGCAATTTATTATCTTCTGGGTCGCAAACAACTATCCACCAGCCCTCATCCTTTTTATGAGGAAAGTATGGTGCTATCACTGTGCCGATATCATTGTCTTCATCACGTTTCAGGTGAATAATAACAGTGCCTTGTCCACCGGCCACTAATTCGTCTTCATCTAATACTTTTATTCCAACTTCAATGTCGGGATACCGATTCGAAAATCTGGCAACCTGATTGAATTCGTAATCGTTTAATTGCAGAATTTCACGTAGTTCATCTTCCTCTTTTTCTCCCAGATTAAAGACGTTTTCAATTCCATGACTTTTGCATCTCTCAATCACCGCTTCAGTAAAGTATGGAACCTGCTTCAACTCTGAATCGCGATCCCATACAGCTTGAACGCACATTTGTGCCAATTCCATTGCGGCTAAAGCTGGTTTGAGCCATCCTTCGGAACTGATTACATCAACAATAGCTTGAAGTAAAGGAATAACTTTTCCTAGTATCATGGTTTGATCGGATTGCAAATCTGGGGGCAATTGTGTTCTAGAGAAATGAGCTTGCAAAAGGATATTTGTCTTTACATGTGGCGAATTAAATTTCGGAGACTTAAGCTTGACAGGGAGACGATCGTAAATAGCTTTAAGTACTTTATCTTCATGATGGCGAATTGGAATAGATTCGAATTCAGCAGCAGAGGAAACAATTTCTAAAAGTCCTCGGATTTTTGTCTTCGGATTTAAGCTCATGCTGAACATTTCTGTGGTAATGTAACTCACGTTGTAATATGCAGCGATCATACCCAAATTCAGACTAGCAACATCCATTTCATCTTCTAAACTTATACATTTCGAAGCCGCCAGATCATTCACCGTGGTTTCCACCAATTCGGATAAATGATCGGACAAGTGTCTGTGATCGGAGCCCTGCATACCATAGTAATTTGGATTTTCAACCATTCGTCGGTATAGGAAAGTCCATGTCAGATAATCAACTGCATCTTGTTTGTTTTCTATCGTTTTTGTCATGATTTCTGCATTAAAATGATCATGTAAGAAGTGATCTAAGTGTGATTCAACTGGGAGTGCTTCATATAAGAATTTCTTGTAGAATTCTTTTTTGATCGCTTGGCACATTAGAATGCATCGGCCGGTATCATCTTCACGAGGACGACAAGCTCGACCCATCATCTGAAGCACGTCGGTTATAGGATAATCTGCGTATCGATGTTCTTTGCCTTCATAATACTGGGTGCCCATAATGACAACTAAATGGCAATTCAAATTCAGACCCCAACATGTTTCACGAGATGCGACTACGACTTGAATTGCCCCAGCTTTAAATAATTTCAAGACAATTTCTTTATCTCTTTCATCCAAAGCTTCGTGATAGAATCCAACACCATGTTGTAATGTAGCTAATAAAGCTTTATCTTTTATGTTGTCTAGATATTCTTGAATTTCCTCGATGTTTGCATGTAAAAAGCGATCGGGAACACCATCAGCAGCACTGAATGTAAGCAAATCAATCGCCGCCAGACGGCTTTGTTTTCGTGAAGGTACAAACACAATAGCTGGTTTATCGGAGGAATATGTCGTGATGGAGATGTAGACAGGCTTGGCCATAGCTATCATCAATGAAGCAAAATGAGGAATATTATAATTTTGAATATGAATTTCCAATGGTACGGGTCGGACACTTGGATGGAAATTGAAAATGTTGACAGGTTTGGCTGCAATCCATTCACCAAGATCTAAAGCATTGGCTAATGATGTACTCAAACATACAATTCGAATTTGATTTGCTGTTTGTCCAGCTTTTTTTTTCTCGCCACTAATTTGCTCAGCGATATAGCGCATTCTAGACACGATAATTTCATAAGTTGGACCAACGTCACTTCCAATCAAATGAATTTCGTCGGCGATTAATAATGCAACCGTTTGAACATTTTTACGCTGCTTCCATCTTCGAGAAATCAAGTCCCATTGAGTTGGAGTGGCGAAGATTACATCACCTCCTTCCAGTAGTTTTAGGTCTGCAGAGAGTTCACCGGTGAGTGCAACGATATTTTTCCCACCTTGGATGTTACCGAATTTCTGTTGCCACTCCGCAACTTGCTGATTAACAACTTCTTGGAACGGGGCGATGTAAACACACCGTCCAGGGTTGGGTTTTGACCATAATCGTAATAAAGCGAATTCGGCGCAAACAGTTTTGCCAGAGCCCGGAGGTGCACCGACGAATACATTTTCATCAGAATTGTACAATGCGTTAAATACTTGCGTCTGAATAGGATTAAATTTATCAACCCATGTGTTGTAGACACTTTCGAATTCGGGGTTACGTAAGGCAGTAACAGGTAAAGGTTGCATATCCAATAACTCTGTGTGTGGTGGATATTTCTTGGGAAGGATTAAATGTCTAAATGAAACTGGCAATTTAGTCTCACAATGCAACCAGCGGTCTGATATAACAGAAATAAAGTAATTGGGTGGTAAAGGTTCAAAGAGTGGAACTGTGAAAGTGATAACGTGATCTTCTTCGGCATATTTTCTCTTTAATATGAAGGAGTCATGATATAGAATGACTTCACCATCAACATCTTCAACTAATATCCAGAAGGCTTCGCCTGTGCCATGAATATTGTCATCCCATTGAAAATCAGGTGTAATCGTCAATTCGACCTTTAGCAGAGACCGTGTAATTGGTTGGACAAATGATTTCAATGATAATCTTGGAAATTGATGAACTAATTTGTAGATTAGTTTAGCGAGATTTTGTCCCACCAGTTGGGACAATTCAGGTATTCCCAAGTCGAAATATCTCTCCCATTCGAATTCCTTCTTTTCAATTTTCTTGATATGTTCCATCTGCAGTTTTCTGAATTGGCGGAACGGAGTCATTGAAAGCCACATTCGTTTTTCCACCATTTTACACAAGTCTAAAGCTCTTCTTGATAACTGTGACCAACCACGTTTCAAGCAAATCTCAAACATGGCACGAAGGATTCGGCCGGCTGATTGCGTGACATAGACCATATCGGCTACAAGAGCGAATCCCTCTAATTTAAGTTGAGAGATATATGCCTGTAATAATACATTAATCTTGGATGTAGGTTCTTCAATACTTTCTTTAACAGGTATTGGCACTCGCTCAAGTAATTTGGAAAGTTCAAGTTTTTCTTCTTCACGAACAGGGATGTATTTAAATTCGTCAGATAATGCGAATACCCGGAATAGTTCGATGTGACCCATCATCGGCTTCAGATGTTGATTATAAGTGGCCATTGAGGTGTGTGTTATATAGAAATGGGAAGCGATGCGACCCAATTCAGTGACTTGGAATCTGCCACTTTTCTTGTCGTATTTTATTAAATTAGATTTGTCAAGTAAAGAAGCAGCAGAATGAATTAAGTCAACTCTTTTTTGCTCAAGATAAGGATCTTCATCCAGATAATCTAGGGTGATACCGTATAGTGTAGGATTGCGTAGCATTCGGACATATAAATAAGTGTAGCCCAGCCATTGTACTGCTTCGTCCCGATTTCGAACTGTGCCCAGTACGATTTCAGCATTCAAGTTATCGGCCAATTTACTAACGAATTGACTTTCGATAGGTAATTGTTGATTCAGCAATGATAAGTAATATTGCAGCTCCGTATGAGAGGTTATGATGATTCCTTCACCGTATGTATCATATTGTGGACGACCAGCCCTCCCTAACATTTGAAGGACATCTTCGGGACTAAGTTCAACCCAGCGACCTTTCTCAGGTGAATAAATTTGCGTGCCTTTTATAATGACAGTATGTGCAGGTAAATTCACACCCCACGCCAGAGTTGCTGTAGATACAAGGACTTGAATATGTTTATCTGCGAATAATTCTTCTACCAATGTACGATCGGCCCTTGTCATTCCAGCATGATGGATACCGAAGCCATAAGGTAATAAATCTTGAAGATTTGGATCCTTTGCCGTAGAAGCTTCTGTTTGCAAAATTTCACGAGTAACTGAACCTTCTTTTAAAAATTGTCCAATTGTATTCTTTTCTAGAGCCATGTCTCGGATAGTTTTTGCGGTTTTGGCAGTTTCCTTTCGTGAATGCACAAATATTAATACTTGATTGACGCCTGCTTGTGCCATAACCTTTAGATATGCGACTTCATTCATTACTTGAAATCGTTTGATTGCTTTTTTCTCTGTAACGCCAATATATTCTTGTTTCAATGGACATGGCCGATAAGAGTTATCAAAATGAAATAGGCCCTTATTAGGATCCACTCTTAAGAAGGTCGCTACATCTCCATAATTAGGCAAAGTAGCAGAAAGCCCTACTAATCTTATCAATTCCTGGGTTTCTTCCATGTGACGAATTGTACGTGATACAATACTTTCAATAACTGGTCCACGATCATCATGTAGCAAGTGAATTTCATCAATAATGATGAGCCTCACTAGATTAGTATAGCTACGATCTGTGGCTTTTCTCGTTATTACATCCCACTTTTCCGGCGTAGTGACAATAATTTGAGTTTCGGCGATTTGCTGTTTAGTTAACTGTCGGTCACCCGTCAATTCGGAAACTTTGATTTCATAAGATTCCAAGCGTTTTGAAAAATTGCCAACCATCTCTTGTACTAACGCTTTCATGGGTGCAATATATACAATTTTGAACGAGTCCAAATCAATGAGTCCAGATTCAGGGTCACGGTGTTTGGATATTTCATTAAGTATACAAAGCATAGCCACGTTGGTTTTTCCAGATCCAGTCGGAGCGCAAAGTAACAAATTATCATCTGTTTCAAATGCTTCATGGTAAAGTTTACTCTGAATACGATTTAGTTCTTCTGCACCTCGAAAAGCTTCTTGTGACCAAGTAGGCATGTTTTTTATAGGAATAAGTTTTTCATCATCTGCGAACGCTTTTGGTTTTGGCGCTGGAACATGAATTTCTTCGTAGCCTTTCATCGGTTTCTTGAACGAGCCTTGAGGAAGTGTACAATTTTTATTTGACATTAAATGTCCACCTTGTGTAAATGACATAGATTCAAGATCGACTACGGCTTTTGGTATAAGGGTTGTTGATGACTGTGTTCTCATGGTTGCCGAGGGAACTGCACCATGTGTAGCAGTGACTGAAGGAGTCTGATCAATTTCCATTATGTTTTCGACGACTCCTCTGCGGGCAGCACCTTCACCACGACGTACTCGTTCACCAGCAAGTTCCTTTAGGATCCACACCAAACCCTTTTGTCGCATTTCATTTTCTATTTGCTGGCGCTCGGAACTTGTAGCTCCAACTCGTGCCAATTTTGTTCCCCACACAATTACATCTCGATTTGCTGTTAATATTTTGACAAGATCAAATTTGTCGTAGTCGTATAATCCCATTAATGCATTTTCACATTCACGCGGATCAAAATCTGAAGCAAGGATTTGCATTGTGCTCGAAGTTTTTTCTTGAGCAGTATGAGGGTCGGAATAATAATTTGAAATAAGACGTTGAAGCCAAAATGCATCAATATCGTGGGGAGAAATTTTTTTATCAGCTTGTGTTTCAGTCAACTTTTTGGACACAGAAGTTGCTGGTTCTTGTACTTTGCGGAAACCTTCATTCTCTTCTTCCGATCCAAAATCTTCACCTTCATTGTCGATTTGTCCTAATCCTAAAATGCCAGTTGTCTCTGCTTCGACACCTCCCTCATCTTCTTCATCTTCTGTATCTACTTCAAATTTATCATACTCATCCTCATCCTCCTCCTCCTCATCAAAAACGACCGCCACACCTAATTCATCGTCAATGTCACCAGCACGTTCTCCTTCCTTGTCAATCTCCATATCATCCTCGGCTCTGTAATCTGTTAGTTTTTTACCAAGATTAACAAGTTGTGCAAAACGATCTGAAGATATTGGTCCGATGGATGATTCGACTTGTTTCATTTTGTCAAAATCTTTTAATGCGTCTGATTTTAGAATTTTTAATACATCATCAGCAGCGCTACGAACCACATCTTGACTTTGATCGCCAAGATTTTGGTATACAAACGCTAGTATTAGTTCATAAGCCTCCCGTGTTTCTTTTGTTCTCGGCCTGTATGATAAACTTTCTACGTCTTCTGTCGCAGCCAGCACATTAGAATAACTATAAGCTTTTTTAATGTCAGTCTCTTCCTTTCTTTTCCTTTTTCTCTCCTCAACTTCTTCTGCCTGACGGGCTTTCTTTTTTTTTGCCTCTAGATCTTTGACGGTGCTTCTTTGCGCTCTGGAACCAAATTCTTTAGGGTTTATTTTCCCCCAAAGAGATTCTGGCTCACCGGAAGGTTCATGATCACGACGGGGTAGTTCAGATCTGTTTGCTTGCAATACAAGGTTTGAGTTAGCCGTGTACTGGTATTGATTGCCGCGTGCAAGTTGTTCTGCCATTGCTAAATTGACAACTGTCGTTTGCTAAAATGAAAAATGATCGTTTCTATATATCTATAATTTATAAATTTTTTGTAAAACGTGGCTATTGGCGGCGTCAAATCGTTTCCCTGATGAGTAATTCGGAATATGCAATCCGCAGATCGTTTCTTTAGTAATAAATTTAAATTGATTGGCGATAATCACTTTTTAGAACTTTGATAAACTATTTCGGAAACCATCGTTAGTCTTTGTCCAAGATGCACGATGCCTTTAAAGTTTCTGTTGCACTCGATAAATTTCAACACAAAATTGAATCCATCTTTGCTTATGGTCTGCATTTGCCGCCTTAACCTGCTCATGCTCTCTTATCTACCTATTTTACTAATAGCCCTTATGAAATTAAAGGTGACAAGCTACTAGTGGGCACTCAAACAGGTGCCTTATCGGTATACGAAGTTCACGATCCCATAGGTATGGTTTTGATAGCCTCATTTTTTTCAATCTATTTACTTTTAAAATTTAGTAACGTAAACCTAGACTTTGTCATTCATTCGTGCTTTGACGAATCGAATGGTTATGAACAGGTGACGAACCCCTGGCCGTCACATTAACGGAAACTTTCAAAAATTTTGCCAGAAGCAAGATTGATCAACTGGATATTATAAAAGAGATTGGGGTGCTTGTGTCACTAGCTGGTGAGTGTCGAAGATAAGGATTATTAGAAACATATAAGAAATGTATATTAGGGTATTGACAATAAGCTCTGTTCTTTCGTATATTTTAAGATTCACATGTTAGCATCTTCGATCTGAATACTTTTCAATTACAAAGACAACTTACAAAGACACGTGGTGCAAATATCTTTTCTATTGATACAAAAATCGAGATTAGTGAGGATGAAGGAAGTAAAGGAATACCAATGATTGTTACACGTCTTGCGGTGGGGGTTAGACGAAAATTGATCATTTTTACTTGGAAGGATAGTGATTTTACCGATACAAAGGTATGCTACTTTAATAAATATCTTTGAGTTCTTCAAATATTTGTTTCTTCGATTCATATTTTATCTTCGCGCTAACTTGAACAAAATTGCAGGAATTTCCAATCGCTGACAGGATTCGAGCGATGGCTTGGGTTAGCCCACAAAAACTTTGTCTCGGACTTAGTAATGAATATGCATTGATTGACATTACTTCTGGCAACACTATCGATCTTTTTTCCCCTTCCAGCGTGACAAGCTCTGGCACTTCATATATTTCTTTTATAGGAACAAAAGTAAATAAGCCGTTGGTAACAAAATTGCCACATGAGGAGATTCTGTTGGCGAAAGACAGTGCGTATCAAGTAATGTGCGTGCGGGATAGATTCTATCGCATAAACCGTATTCGTCTGTCATTTTGATGAGAGTTCAATTTATTGTTTCCACTAAATTACTATTCATCGATATTGACGACCCGTAAGCGGTGCAATGGATGATAATTAACTCGTACTTGTCTGTGTTATCTGCATCGTCGTCTTGTCATTATTAGATGTGAGCATCTTTGTTGGACTGGACGGTAATCCAACTCGTAAAGTTGGAATAGACTGGTCGGGAATGCCTGAAGAAATTGGTATGCAAAAACTTAGAATATTGAAGGGACTTTTTGTATTCTAATCATTTATCTTCTTGTTTAAAGGATACTCTTACCCATATCTCATTGCAATCCTGCCAAAGCATGTGGAAGTAAGAAATCTTGCAACACAAACCTTGGTGCAAACGGTAGAATTACCACAAGCTCGACTCATAAATGCGGGCAAATATTTATATATTGCCAACAATAGTACAGTATGGAGATTTATTCCATATAGTTATGAGAAACAGGTAGACTTTAACTATTCAACTATAATTGATCAATCATTGGGGATTATTAAATTATAATTATTAAATAACTTCTCCCTTGTTGCTATTTTTCCCCCATTATTGATACAAGATTGATCAATTGGTTGAACAATTAGAATATGAAGAAGCGATAAGTCTAACCAAGCAGATCGAACCTATTCTTTTGGATGATAAAGTAATTGACTATATTTGATCGTAAATTTATTTGCTGATCTATTGAACATTTGCTGATTAATTATATACTTGACCAGGATGCCAAACTTAAACAAATTCGTAATCTATTTGCGCATCATTTATTCCGTCAACAAAAATTTGATACAGCAATCACGATTTTTCAAGAATTAGAAACAGATCCTGCCGAAGTGATTGCTTTGTATCCTCCATCTATTTCAGGTGAATCTGACTCCGAGGGAGATCAAGAATCGATAGAAAAGCTAACAGAGAAACCATTAGAGAATGGTACGAAATCACATCAATTATCTGTAGTAAAAGAACTGGGCTCTATCACGGGCGATGATTCCCAGAACATCACTTCGATAAAGGATGAAAAATTGTCGGAAGCCGAAACTGTGGTCAAAGAAACAGAAAAAAATGAGAATAAATTAGGTTTGTTGCTTTGCGTCTTTTTCAAATTTTATTTATATAGTTCGACTAATCTTGATTGGTCGCATACCGATTTTTATATTATGTTGAAAAGAGGGTAAAGTCCTCGAAGAAGCCGTTTCAGCATTAATAAGATTTTTGACCGATCGACGGCAAAAAACCTCGAAAATCCTTCATCATCTGCAATCAAATCGATCTGTCAGTTCTACACCCCCTGGATCACCGTCTTCCCATCGTCCCTCTTTAAATAGTCTTTCAAGTCTTGACATGCACCAAATTATGAAGACTGCGGCGCTGGTTGATACATCTTTGCTCAAGTCTTACATGATTATAAACGATGCATTGGTTGGACCTCTTCTTCGTGTACCAAATCATTGTAACGTAGAAGAAAGTGAGGGACTTTTATTAGAAAGAAAGGTATCTTTAAGTTTAAATATAGATAGTATATATATATATTTTTTACTCGTGTGATTAATATTAAAATCTTTCTGAATATGCAGAAATATAAAGAATTGGTTGATTTATATCATGGAAAAGGACTTCATCGAAAATCTTTGGAATTACTGAAAATGTATTATTATTATGGTTTAAAATAAGAATGATTTATTAATTGGGTTAATAGTTTGTGCTCATTTTAAGTACTAATAATTTTTAATGAAGGCTCGGACAATCTTCAGAAGGCCCAATGAAAGGAACTTTGCATACTATACTTTATCTTCAAAAACTTGGACCGGATCATTTTGATCTAATACTCGAGTTTGCTTCTTGGGTATTGGAGACAGATCCAGAGGAAGGGATGGAGGTAAAAAAAAAAAAGATATATAAATTCGATGAAAAGATTAATCCAGGCATTTCATTAACTCTATTCTTTGCAGATTTTCATTGATGATCATCTAGAGGTTCAAAAATTACCGCGCGATCAAGTCTTGAAATACCTGGAACAATTTTCCCCGGATCTTTGCATAATATTTCTTGAACATATTATATACGGACTGGGAGATCAAACATCTGAATATCATAATCGGCTGATTATGGCATATTTAAACAAATTAAGACGGCTGAATCATGAAATTGAAGTCAACGGTTCCTCTGGTATGTCAAAATGTTATCTTTCAATTTTATCGATATTATACAATATATTGATAGATATCAATGACAGAAAAAATACAAAAATCTTTGGAGGAAACGGATAAAAAACTCTTAAATTTTTTGGACGAATCTCAATTTTACAGAGCAGAGAAGATTTTAGGGCAGCTTCGATTCGACGGTATTTAATTCGTACTAATATTTCAGGAACAAGTATTAATTTATGCGAAATTTTTAATAATAATGATTATACTACACAGATTTCTTTGCAGCAAGGGCAAAACTACTTAGTCGACTTGGTCAGCATGATCAAGCTTTACACATTTATGTGCATAAATTGAAGGATGAACAAATGGCGGAGGAGTAAGTATCAATTGATTATCAGATCGATTGAAGTCTTTAAACATTTTTTTTGCTTATTTTGCGAGCATAACATTATATACGCAAATCTATTAAGGTACTGTATTAAGAAATATAATGATAAAAACAATCCAGTAAAAAAGGTTTTTTTATCATTACTTCGAGTATATCTAAAACCCAGTGATGGGGAAGAAGTTATGATAGAGCCAGCTCTACGATTATTGTCACGACATGGAACACATGTCAATGCCTCAGAGGTTTGTCCACTATAATTTCCTTTTTTTTTGGTGGTCTGAATAGCTGCTAATTAAAAATCTTTTATCTTTATTCGTTTTCATAGGCTTTAGAAATGTTACCACCAACCATAAAAGTATCACAACTATATGGATTTGTCGAGAAGTATATTCGAGAAAGTAATCGAAATAGAAATATGAATATGATTGTCAAAAATCTATTGAAGGCTGATCAATCTCAGGTCAGTAAAAACGTAACATACACCGAGTTTTCGCTGGCTCTTAATTTAGTTTATGATTGTTCATAAATAATTAATTATTAAGGCTCAAGAGCAATTGATGTTTTACCGATCCCGAAGAGTCAAGATTGATGAGGATCGTATGTGTCCTCAGTGCACAAGACGCATTGGCCATAGGTTAGTTTGATAGTTTGTCATTGGTCGAGAATTATTCGTCATATTAAACGCTAATTAATTTATTTTTAGCGTGTTTGCTGTCTTTCCTAACGGAGTTATCGTTCATTATCATTGTAAAGACAAGGTAAAGCAAATTCACCTATTTTCTTTATGATAGATGTATATGAGCTTCTTAATCACTAATGGATTATCGATTTTGTTATATAGTACTCGGCATCACACGAGACTACAATATGATATCACATTAAATTCCTATTTATTTATTGTTATCGCTATTTTTTATAATCATAGAAAAGGAGCTTGAAGTATATATTATAGGCTACTGCAAGATTCCCTTAACACACACATATATAAAAGACATACACATAAATTCATATTTGAGTAGAATTAATTTTATTAGCTGAAAATAATTTCCTGTATAATATTATTATTTTGGCTTTTAGAAATATCAATCTTTTAGACTGCGAATCTATTTATTTTTGAGCATGATAAATTAAATTGACCTTTCATCAACAGATACAAAAGTCTCGATAATAATGTGCAATGTCTAATCTAATGCATCCAATAAACGTGCAACATTTACAATCCTGCAAAACGGAGCTTGGTAAACACGCTGAATTTTTTCAATATGGGCAAGCTGTTAATGAAGTATTTGGTGCCGATAACCATAGCACTATTAGAGATTGGTTGATGAATTTGCAAGAAGAAAATCCTCATCGAGGTACAAAAGGTGTCTTTAATTTATTATGATTTTATCGTAGAAATTGAAGACTAATGATTCGAATCTTCTTTGCAATATATAACATCAAAAGATATCCAAGAGCCACCTGTTCTTATATCCTTAAATTTTAATAATGATGAAATACATTCTAATACTTAGAGATATTATATTATTTTTGACGAATGTGTACGTATCTCAAGAGGAAATTGCTCTCAAACGAAAACGGAGAAGACACATGATGTATTCTCTACAAAATAAACAGAAAAAATCGATTAATTCAGAACTCGGTACGGATTTGGCATTAATCTTATTTTGATGATACAATAGATATATAATTATAATTATATCAAATTATATCATCAATAAAAATTTTAGTTGCAGAATCAAAACCTGTTATTGAGATAACAACAACATTTGCTTCAAGATCTGATGATGAGACGTTGTTACAAAATCAGAAAGAGGAAAATAACCAGCAACTCGAGCAATATATTGATTGTATTAATTCAATGATTGTGAAGAAAGCTATGGATTATATGGAATTTTGTAAAGATATTAGATCATTAATGTCAATGCCTTTTGCGCAGGTATATTTATTTTTTGGTCAATTTAAGTTAATTTTCATCAATATGATTCACACACACATTTGTTAATATTGATCAAAAGGTGCAAATTATATGCGATGGTCTAGACTTTACTTTAATGCCGGAAGATACTTTTGACACATTCTTTCAAGAATTCGCCAAAAACGAGGATATTCCTTATCAAAGCCACATAATGCTAATCAAGGCTGCATTCTTCAAGAAGGTACACTACTTGTCTCTTGTGAATAAGAAAATACATCATCGAACCTTATATAATCAACTATTGTATATATTTTGATAATGAAGGTTTGTAACCTGACCGCCAATCCATCACGTAATTTTTTAGCCACTATAATGAAAACCGCAAGTGTTAAAAATAAATCAATAATATATGGCTTATTGTTGCCGTTAATGAAAAATACACAAGCAATAGGTAAACATCTTTGTCTTTATGATGAATCTCGAAACATACAGATTATTAATTTATCGATTATTATATAAGGACGGCCTCAGCTTGATATAATCACACGTATAATAAAGGAATCTATAAACGATGTGAATATCTTGATTTTAATACAGTAAGTATTATCTATAATAATAAATATATAAGCAAATGAGTTTTATTCTTTTGAATTTTTATGATATTACCAAATAGGGAACTATTCCGCGACACTACATCGTCATCACCGCCAGCAGACAACGAAATAACCGAACAATCACAATATTTCCTCGGGGATAATTGGAAAGACTCAACAATCGAGATATTGATTGTGATTTTTAACAAGAAATTTCAGTTACGAGATCGTAATCTACTGATGTCATTTTTATCTCATTTGAATCATAACATAGAACAGCAACCAGAAAATAAGAAGTTAGCGCAAATTATGTTATTGTTAGTTACAAAGCATGGTGATGACATTTTGAATGAATTGGATTACATGAAGTCGATTGCAGATAAAATCAACACATTTATGAAAAAATCACTTTTGAGTAATATAGAATCATTGAAAAGGAAAAAGTAAAAATATTATTTTGTGGGATTTTTAAAAGAAATAATCTAAGAAAAATTAATTTTAATCATAGTATATTACTAATTTCAACTGAGTCCTTGGTTACTTTTCATCGCTAGAATTTCAATATTTTTAAATGCAGGACAATTCGACACTCGTTCAATTAAAGGCTGAATGTAAACTTTATCATCATCGGTTACCAATTTTTTCAAATGTTCATAAGTTTCCAACAACTATAAAAAAAGATAGTTAAGAAAACTTGACGACAAAGATACAAAAAATTCTGAGGTTAATTCCTTCATCATACCTGTAATTTCAAATTTACTTGATATTTATATTCTTCAAACCCAGTCTCAGTCATGTTATCCGCATTCTCCAAGGCTACCACGATCACCTCGAAAATTCTGCTAAACATTCTCACATTTCCAAATTTTTCCCTGGAATTTGGCATTGCAAGAGCCAAACAAGCATTAATTCGCACCTTGAAATTTTTTGATGATCTTACGGCTTTTGAAAGAGAATCGTATAGTGTGGTGGTCCAATCGTTGCTCCCAATAGGAAAATTTTGATTACGTAACATATTCGCGGCGGCATAACATGCATTCCAACGTGCCTTTAATTGTATCAAAGAATATCTTTTTAGATCATTTTGCGAAAAAAATTGAGATCCTTATTAGAGATGACAAATACTTTTAGTGACCCATGATCAAAGTTTTTCGTTAATGACAAGACAACGTCTTTGACCAATCCCGTTTGTTCTTTTAATAAGTATCTCTCGGGGCTAATTCGCATAAGGCTTCCCAATGCCCGAACCGCATTTACTCGGACCTTAAAGAGAAAAATATTTAACTAAAAGCTCATAACAGTTATTCAATTTTGAAAATACAAGAAAAAACCTTATCGTTGTCAACAGATGCAGCAAGAGCAGCTCCAACAATCTTGTTAAACATATCAACCGTCAAGAAATCAAGCACAGAACTTGAAATTTCCTGGTTTCCACGAACTTCACTATTTATATTATTTTTATTTATATTCAGAATACAAAACGTTATAATAATATATTAGAGACTTGTATTAATTAAATTCCAAACCTTAATGTTACTAATGAGTCACATAAATTTCCTAGTGCCCAACTACTTCTTATACGCACAAGTAAGGTTGTATCCGAAATATTTTGAATTACGGACAATGCCATATCCGTAGCAAAAATAGTGTCCTATGCATAAGAAGAAGGTCTCAATAGTTTATCAAATTCATTAACAAAAAATTAATCAGTATAGAAATTCAAATATTAAATTTACCTCAGAAAGGCAAGGGAAAAGAATAAATACACCTAAAGCTCGACATGCAGAAGCACGTACATTGGGACTTTCATCTTGAACCATTCGTAATAGCAGTGTGATAGAATACATAGCCCGATCTGTCTAAACATTTAATTGGGCTTTTATTTACATCAACATGGCAAGCAAATCTCCGAAAGATGCATGAAAAACCATTACCGGCAATTCAGAAAAAATGCTTGACGAAATATGAGATAAACAATCGCAGGTCAAAGCACGGATAGCATGGCAAGTATCTGAAGCGGACTTTTGTATGTAATAATCCAGTGTGAATATCCACCATTGAAGTAACTCAGAAACTGGCATTGTGTCAGCATTCTTACTACGATCCTAGAAGAGCGCATAAATTTAATAAATAATCATTGAAAAAAAAATAATAAAGGGTCAATTAGACTTACTATAGTTCTTTCGTTTTCATTATTATTTTGATCAGATGGATTAAAATAAGCTGCGGCTGCTTTAGCATATTCTTCAAGAAATTTCATAGCTGCTGCTCTTATATTAAGATCTTCACTCTGTAAATCTGCAGATATAAGATTATCCAGTTGTGTCCATCGAGAGCTATAAGGAAATAAAAGGTTAAATAATAAATTCCTTTCATTTTCAAACTTCTAACAATGGTATTTTTACTTGCCGTATGAGCAAGAAATGCAAATGTGTACAGACACATAATACGCCCCATGCCTCTATTCGTAATGCGGAAGGCTGTTGAGAATCATTAATCAAGGCTATAAGAAACGTCAATAGATTCATTCGTGAATTTCCCTCTGTCATAGGTGATATTTTTAATTCGGATTTTGAAATTTCTATCAATGGTTCTTGAAGAAAAATTGCAATTTCATCTGTATTTGACTTGGATTCTATCATGGCAGAGATTAAATTAAATACAGAAATTCGTACTGAGGTATCTACAAAATAATAAATATTATTCTAAATTCAAGAAATCATAAAATTCTGCTTAAAAAACATTAAATATTACCTTTAAAAAATAACAACGGCAAAACTGCGTTAAAAAGACGCGATAAATATCCGCTAGAAAGACGATCATATGCGACATTATTCACCAGGACATTACAGCACTAAAAGAGCAATGAATGATTCAATAAAAAATCAAGAGACTAATAAAAGAATAGGGCAAAATAAAACCTTAAGCAATTGTAGGAGCATGATTGTTTGTTGTTCGTCTCTTAAAGCATTAATCAATTCATGATGAAGTTGACGTACAATTGCACCCAAATTAACAGACAGAGGTGTGAACGAAGATTTAAGTTCCCTGAAATTAAATATAAATAATATTTTTAGTCTGAATAGAAAGATGATTATTTAATGATATTTTAAATTACCTATCATCTGCGAGCGATAAGTATTGTTTAGACCCATCGATCAAAGTTGTTATAGAAGAACATGCTGCAACGCGAACTGTTTGAATTGGGTCGCATGATATTATGGTAAATAGCGAGGGCGAGGTAGAGAAAGACAAAGTTCGTGCATCAGGGAGAAATTTATTCCAATAGGGATATAATAATTTTGGAGATGTCTTACGTATGTTGAAAATTTTTTAACAAAGCATTAAATAATTATAACTCCCAAAACTTAATATCAAGCAAAATCTTGAATAATTACTCGCGCAATGCTTTGCAAGCATCCTAAGGCATTCAATCGAACCCGAGAATCGTCACTATCAAATTTTATCCAATTAATTTTCGTGATTTTTAAAACGTTCAAATTAAATAATTAACATACTTTCTCTTATTTTGATTATAATCACTATCAGAAAGTTCAGAATCAGAACTTATCCAAGAATGAATACTGGATCGATGGTGATAAGGAGACTTTTCACGAGGGTTGCGAGCCTGAGATGTTCTCGTTGAAGATGTAGAGGCATAAGATCGTGTAGTTTGATTCCTTGGCGTGCGATCTATGCTAATAATTTCATTTTATCTCAGTTAAACTATTTAATTCGTGAAACATTATTTTCAAATATAATGGAAATTGTGGACCTATCGAATGAGTCATCTCTCCTAGCTTAAAGAAAACA